TGTGATGTGCCCAGTGTGGGTAGTCCGGGCAATCCAAGCCAGGACTGCTTTGCAAGCGGGGCACCCCTGAGAACTGTCTGTCCGGGGTGGGGGTCGGGACACTTTAAGCGCAGCCCTCGGCTAGCCTGAGACAGCATCTCCACGCTCTAAGTCCTCCTCTGATGCCCTGCCGGCACTGCTTCCGGCCATCCTTAAGCCTGGTTCAGGGTCCACTTAATGTGGACATGCTAGTTCGAATTAGCAAAACGCTAATTCGAACTAGTTTTTAGCTCTAGATGCATTAATTCGAATTAGCTTAGTTAATTAGCTTAGTTAGGGTTGGCCGCTGTCGGCAGACAGGCTACTGGGCTAGATGGACCTTTGGTCTGACCCAGGACGGCCATTGTAAGCTCAGGGCTCAGGGTCGGGGGTCTCAGGGGCTGGGATTGCATTGGCTGCTGGCCCCACCCATGGGGACTATCAAATACTCATATAACTGACAACATGTGGTTGCATAACTATTCAATTACCCAATATCTAACATCACTACTGTAAACTTTGTCAGTGATTATTTCATTTTTTTCAGGTTATTGATAAAAATGTTAAATAGTGTAGGGCCAAGAACCAATCCTGCTAGAAACACAGCCACTCGATGATTCTTGATGTGCAATTATATTTTGACATCTCTCAGTCAGCCAATTTTTAATCCATTAAATGCCAATTTTTAATCGATTACATCAACACTATTGCCTTTAACAACCAAATGTGTTTGATAGGATCTATTTTCTGTAACCTCTTGCTGATTGGTATTAATTAAATTACTTTCCTTCAACTATTTATTAATCAAGTCCTGTATCAGTAGCTCATTAGCACTTCTACAACCCCAAAACACATTAAGGCTCAGTTGGTCAGGTTTTCAAAGGCATTTAGGTGCTTAAAGAGGCAGATATTTTAAAGTATCTATTAAATGGGAGTTAGATACCTATGTGCTTTTGGAAATACTACTAGGCCCTGGTCTACACCAGGGAGTTATTTCGGGAAAAAAAAAACCTTATTTCGAAGAAACAAGCAGAGCATCCACACTGCCAAGTGTAAATTAAAAAACACTCCCCATTTTAGTTTATTTTATAGAAACTTCAATGTCTGGGTTATTTTCTTTGTGGAAATCTGATGTTTATAACTGAATGGCCATACTGACTGAAAATAAATACAGGCAGTCCCCGAGTCTTCTTGGGACTCTAAGTCGAGGTAGCATATCCACATTAAGGGAGCCTGCCTCACACTAATTTCAAGGCTTCCCTGTAGCTATTTTGAAATTATTATTTTAGGAGTTATTTTGAAATTATTTCCTAGTGTAGACATGGCCTAAGACATCTGTTTTAAGTCCCATCTGAAGGATGCCACCTACACCAGTACAGTGTTACTTAACACCATGCTGGACAATAGTGAACTAATGACTACAAGGAAATTGATACCTCCTGCTATACCACCACCTGTCTTTGAGGCATCCCATTCATGTACTGACCAATTCTGACTTCTTAGCTTTCCAGACATACTAGAGCACAACACAGTGAATCACCTTGGGTGATGTGGCTACAGCCCTTAATAAAGAGGACCTAATATTTTCTGCCAACTAGCAATAAAGCCTTGACAGTACAAAAATCCACTAAAAACGTTGCATCCTTTTTTAGGACACTGAAGCATAATAACTGTAATCCCTAGATCATATATAAACTCATGTTATGATTCGTCTGTTGTCCATACTTCCCCATCTAACCATCTTCAAATTAAAACTGATCACATCATAATGCATTAAGTTACTATGCTCTGAGGAAAAAGAACATGAGTCAAAAAGCCACTGATGAATACACAATACAGCTACAGAGCTCATAAAAACAACAAAACATTTATATCACAAATGACACATTTCTTTCAACTGTCTCCTGATGTGAATCTTGTCAAGCAAGTGAGCTGTCAAATCCCATATAGATTCCACCCCTTAGCACAGGTAGAGCAATAATTTAATAAAGCACAAAAGATGTCCAGGTTACCTGGCTGCCACATTGCAAAGCTCAAGCCCTGCTTCTGCAGCCAAACCAAGGAAGGCATTTTATTATTTTGTGTTTTTCATCAAACAGGTTACAACATAAGTCAATATTTTAATGTGCAAAGCAGCCCCCAGTCCCTTTATTATTCTCACAAAACGTCAGTTGTCGTAGCACAGAAGTGGGCAATGAAATGGTGGCAGTTCACCAGAGTTAGCCCATGGCAAGCTTCTGCTGCTATATTTCCCTGTGCCTCTGCAGGTACTGGCAACTGCAGCTCCCATTGGCCAATAGGTGCTGCAGGAAGCAGCACGGACCAGGACATCACTTCCTACAACTCCCATTGGCCG